TTGAGCTGTAAAGTTCTTAAACATCATATCAGTAATGTTGTGTCTGTTCAAAAAAAAAAAGTCTAATATGTGTAAACATATGCATATTAAACAGGATAGCATTCTGAGTGGGTAGATTGCAAAGTGTGCTAAAGGAAAAGAAACGAATAATGAGAAATATAAATAGTCGCAATGTCATAGTTTCCAGGGTTACCACATTACGTCGTCATGACTCATAATTTATTTTTTTTTGTAACAAAATATTTCAAATAAATTACTTTTAACTTTCTATTCATCAAAGAATCCTGTAAATAAATGCATCACGGCGTCTGCAAAAACAACTGTTTTTAATATTTATAATAATAAGAAAGTTTCTTGAGCAGCAAATCAGTATATAAGAATGATTTCTGAAGGATCATGTGACACTAAAGACTGTAATTGAAAAAAATCAGCTAAAAAAATCAGCTTTGCCTTCAAAAGAATAAATTACATTTTTAAAAATAAGATGTTTGCTGTATGTGACAAAAAAAGTGTTTCAGCCTAAAAAACTAACACAATACAATTGTAATTAATTATAATCATAAGATAAACATTTTAAGATGAAGTTACTATAGTAAAAGTAAAAACATTAAAAAGTAGAAGAAGACCTGTAAAAAACAAAGCCACAGTCTTTGACATGCACACTATTTGGGATGGGTTTCCTCGCTTTTAAAAGCCTATTTATTTTGCTATCATAATAAAGTGTGGTTATATGGTTGGCTGCATTTTAGTATTGCTTTTAGCTTTGTTTTTTCCCTGTCAGAACAGTCCATTTTTAGGTTGTGACCCAACAGTGAAGTTTCAGGCCTGATTAAAGAACAGTGATATTATTCAATGCTCCTCTCGAGCTTCAGAGTGAACAGCAGGCTGTAATGATTTGCTCATATGTCAGCCTCTTGAAGGAATGCTAATAAACTTGAACGTTTTGAATCCTAATATTGCTCTGTATATATTAGCACTAATATATTCAGAGAGCCGAGCAAGAAACACAAAAATCACAATATTTTCAGTCCTCTTGGGGAGTGAGACTTATCCAAGCATAAGGGTAAAATAATACGTTTTACTTTGATTTTGTTTGTGCGAACAATTACAGTGGCCGAAAGCTGGGTGGCCAAAAGATCAATCACAAACATGCTGACTGTAGATCTCCCGATTCAATTCGGCTGGAAATAAAAGCTTGGCGAGGAAGCAGGTCACATGGCCTTAACAGACAGCTAACCCAGACAGACTCATTCAGAGCACATTTCTTGAGTGGCACGTCCACAGAAACGTTGTCTGGGTGTTTGATTAATCTCCTTGCTGCCTGTCTGATCTAATTGTAAAGGCAGGAAAATACTGAGTAATTTAGCACTATAAACGTGGGAAGGAAAAAAAAATCCAGGAAATAAGATACGAATTAGACGCTGCGTCTCTGGGTCTAATTTGTGGTGTCACAATAGCAGCACACAAGCTTCAAAACACTGCCAATTGTACTGTAGTACAGTAGTTATCATTGATCCAATTACCCTACGCAACACCAGGATGAGATACAATAAACCTTATAGAACTGGAGTAAGACAAAAAGAATATTTTTGAGTCAATAAATTCAGTGGAATTAATCATATTAATGATCTAAAACACATAACATTCAATAATACACGAATGAGCAAATGATAAAGCTTGGGTTGCTAAATATTCAATCTCTTACTTCAAAAGCACTTATTATTAAAGAGGTGGTAAAATGCCATTTTCACAAATTGTAAAATAAATATCTGATGTTTCCAGAGTATGTGTGTGAAGTTTTAATAGGCACAAAATACCCCACAGATATGCAGCAGTTAAACCTTTTTGAGGGTTTGCAAAAACATCTGGCCCTTTAAATGCAAATGAGCTGCTGCACAGGGCGGGGTTTCAAGAGCTCATAGATTCACTAAAATGCATTCACAATTACATTACACTGTTTTAACGTGTTTTTTAAATCTCTTCTGCTCACTGAGGCTGCAATTGATCATAAAAAAACAGCAAAATTGTGAAATACTACTATTTAAAATGACTTTTTTTTAATATATTAAATATTAAATATATATATTTAATATGTTTTAATCATATTCTTTGATGCCAAGCTGAATTTTCAGAATCATTACTTCAGTCTTCAGTGTCTCATAGTCCTTCAGAAATCATTCTAGTATACTGATTTGGTGCTCAACTATTAACAATTATTATCTGTGTACTACCAATAGTTTTTTAAATATAAATATTAAAACATAATTACAGCTTATTTTTTTGGAAACTGCAGGATTCTTTTAATATAATCTTCAAAAGGACAGCATTTTTTCAAAATATAAATCTTTTTTAACATAAATTACTTACTATTAATATTAAATATTAATATTAAATTAATATTAATTACTTAAGTAATTAATTACTTAAATTACTTCGTTACTCACACCTTCGATCAATTTAATGCAGCCTTGATGAATAAAAGTATTAGTTTCCTTCTTTTTTTCTTAACTCAAACTTTTCAATGGTAGTGGTATCACGGTTTCCATAATATTCAGCAGCACAGTTATTTTCAACGTTGATAAGAAATGTTTCTTGAGCTGAAAATTAGCATATTAGAATGATTTCCGAAGGATCATGTGACTGAAGACTGGAGTAATGTAAAGTAAAAATAAAAATAAAAACATATTTATTCCAAATGTTTGTCTGGCTGTGCATGATAAATTAGTATTTTACAAACAATATTAGCCTATACAAATCATAATAGAAAAATGACTGGACTACTTACAGTATCTAAAGGAAAGTAGAGTGATACAATACAACATGTGACCAATGAAACAAACAAAGCATGCACTGTGACAATCCTAATAGCCATAAAAGAGCAGTATGTTTTCAGTTTGACAGCATTAACCTCTTTCAAAACATAATTTAATTGAAAGCAATTAAAATAACCCTGTGGGTGATCCAGATCTGTAAATATGATGGTGACTAACACTTTTTTTTATATATATATATCTTCTAAAAATCACTTGAAAGCTATCTAGCTATGATGACAGGCATTTGAAAGAGAGCAAGTAAACCTCCAGTGCGAGGTCATGTGACAGCCAGCATGACATATCACAGCTATGTATGGAGCAGACACGCATGCTTTCTTTCAGTCGTTCCAATTGGCATTGCACTGGAACAGCTAAAAGAGTGTTAAGATATGTGTAGATGTGATGTGTGGAACTAATGCGTGTTCTTCTGATAGTGATCTATAGTGCATCAAACATGTCTATTTTTTAAGATCCCCAGCACTGCCACAAAGAAACACAAAGCCTTGGCCCAAGACACCAGCATGTACTCGATCACCACCAATCACTCCAGGAAAGCAATGAAAGTGTCAGCTCAAAAGCATTTTTGCTGTAATTACATCACACAAATCAACTCGGACAAGAGAGCACAAACAGGACCACATGCAAAAACAAATGCATGTGTTTTACATTGGCAGCAGCTTTACAGTGACAGCTAGAGAGCCAGCAGGTCTCTTGAAAATAATAATAATAATAATAATAATAAATGTCTGAGCCTCTCTTCTGATTCCAGAAGGTTGTTCTCCCCATAAGCTTAAAAATACAAATTCATCCCGTTAGCCTTTAGCAAACAATGCACCACCAATTCCACTTAGAGACGATTTTAGCATGACCTTCAAATGAGATTATTTTTTACAAACAAACGAAAAATATGAATATATTATTGTGTGTGTGCATATATATTACTATTATAATTGTTTTTACATGGTGGAGTTTTAAAAAGAATATCAGTCAGAATATGTGTGCAAGTTAGAGAGTTTACAAAACAAGCATGAAATAATATTGCTCACTGGTGTGTTAGAACTGCTTCCCCATCCATAAAGATAGCATGCATGAGTCAGACGTCAGCTGCTTTCAAAATGCCCATTAATGTCCCAAAAAAAAAACTTTAGAAGACGTAGTAAACATTTGTATTTATGTTTTCATAAAATAACCCACAAAATCAATATATCTGCAGTAGGAAATTCATTATATAGGCCTTTTCATATATGATAGTTTAGGATACAAATGATGTTTACACATTTACATTGTTTACATTTTGCCAGCAGCTTAAAAAGTGTTTTTTTGTTTTTTAAAGCAACCTTCATTTCAAAATAGGCTATAGACTGTGATATGTAAGTGATAACTACTTGTATGGTGGTTTTTTACACCTGTCGGTTTTTTCGTGTTGAAATTTTGAGTTTCTCTGATCTTCTTGAAACTCTGGATTCTGATAGAGGGCCATGCGACTTAGACCTGATTGCAAAAATGGAGGCTCTAGACCCTTCCTGAACTGAGATATTGAGATCCCACGAAGCATTTATGCCATTATAAATATCTCAATATTGTCCCCTTGGAATTATAAGGTTCTATCTGACATTTTTGTCAAAATTGAGTTATTCACATATTCTTATTCTGTGACAACTTATTAACATTATGTGATGTGTTTTTTTAAGTTGTGTTCATTGTGGGGCTTTTTATTGAAAAAAAAAAAAAAAGGTTCTATCTACAAAGTTGAACTCTGCCTCATGCAGATAGAACATTATAGAGCCAAGTTAATCAGCACTTTGAATGCACAGAAGAGGACCAATCAGAATCAACTTTATATGATAGGTCGCTGGCTTTTTCCTTGAAGACAAGAAGAAACCCCATAAAGGCATAATGCTAAACATTTACAGTAAATTACTGTAAATATTCACTAAATTGTGTAGTCTTATGAAGTGGCTTAACTTTATATTTTGTCATTTTCTTTATAGTGTATTGGTTATTATTATTATTAATTATTAATGAGATTATTTTTAATAACTATTATCATTATAGTTATTATTATCTGAATTATACAAATGCAGTGAGTAAATTGAATATTTTAAAAAACCATTCAACATGCAAGTGTGTGTGTGTGTGTTGGTTTTTGTGAATTACGAGGACATTTCACATGAATACACACAACACTATGGGGACATTTTGAATTATGGGGACATGACCGGTGTCCTCATAATTCTAACAGTGTAGAAGTGCTTCTATACCTAGAGGGAGCTCAAATCCAAAATTTCTCCACAAGTCCCCATAGTTCACATTTACATGATTTTGTGTAAAACGTGTGTATCGAGACAGTGCCCCTGTAGGTGGGTCTGGGGTACTGCACCTCCTCATGAATATTCACACTTGTGTATGAAATCGCAGTTTGTGATTGGCTGTGACCGCCGGAAGTCCTCATAATTTCGGGTTTTGTCAGACCACTGTGTTAATGTGTTTACCTCACACGAGTTAATGCAGTTTACTAACTATTTAAACATTATTGTTTTATAATTTATCAATTGTCAATGAAATATATAAATGCAGAGTGACCCTGCAATGATAAATAATCCGTAAATATCATATTATGAAAAATGAAAATAGCTTGAAAGCTGTTCGCAATCAGTTTAATGGAGAAACGCGACCCTAACCACACTATTAACTGCTATATCATAGACTATATCATAGATGGCTATTTACATACATAATGGTATTATTATTCTACAATATCGTTTATTATAATCCATATGGTCTAATAATCATAGTTTAGCGTCGCGTTTATTTCCTGTTTGGACCGGGTGGAAACTGCAGCTGAGAAGACACCTGTGATTTGGACCTGTTTAAAGCAACTATTACTGGAAAGGTAAGCTTTACTGCTGTTTAATAGCTTGTAGGTCAGTTTGTCTTGTTTGTGCATGTCTTGTAAGCTCTTTGCTGCTCGGTTTACTGTAATGAAGCCGCTAGCGCCAGATGCTAACGATGCTAACGACCTTTACAGTGATCGCCATTCTGTTTACAGACTGTCAGGAGAGAATATGAGATGTTTGACAGTTTAACTAGTTTTAGTTTGCAATATAATTGTAATTGTAACATAAAATAGGCTAGCCATGATCAAAATAAGGAGATGTCATGACTCTGTGAAGGGGCGAGGTTTCCCCAGTACAGTATCCCCTGACATGCTACTGTAAATATTACTGCAGTTCTGCTGGCTTTAGAGATTGGTCATGTGCTCTTATTCCTCCTGCATGTAATACCATATAATCTGTACTAATAGAACTGTCAGTCTTAATGTTTATACTGAAAACAAACCTGCTGAATATGTCAAATGAAATGCAATATTGAGTATTAATGAGGGTCTTTTGACTAGTATTAATGAGGGTCTTTTCTATGACAGCAGACACTCTGAGAGCCCAAGCCACTGGATGAGGCGTAGTTTTCACTTCAGAACAAAGACAGATTCATCAATGATTTTAAAGGTGAGTTAAATGGTTTGATAGAGTTAAGTTTAAGTGAAGTGAAGTGAAGTTTAAGTGAAATTAATGTGTTTAATAAAGCTGTGTCATGTACATGATATGTTATTTACAGTGATGGTGTTTCTTCTTCTCTGTTGTTGTGTAGGGAGAGGAGTGTTCAGTTGCTCTGAGTTTCATAAGGGAGATTTCCTGCTTGAATATGGAGGAGACTAAGAAAAGAAGAAGAACGAGAGCGAAGGCAAAGAGTATCTCATCATGACGAGTTTCATTACGATGGAAAACTCCTCTGGTATGTACAAGTGTTTGATGCGTATGTAACCTTTGTACTTATAGCCCAGATTCGATCACGAGTGGACGAGGGACACACATTCCTGGTTACACCTGGTGTTTTAATCCGTCTTTTGCCACTTTAACCACAGATTTCTTCGTGGTGAGGGTAGATCTTTTTCGATCTAATTGATGAAATAAGCTTACGCAATTTACATATGAGCGCGACCAGCATACACATGTTATTTTCAACTGTTTATGTTCACTTAAAGGGAAACTTCACCTCTGGGAAGATAAATGTGTATTTAAAATTGGTCATTTATATAGTAGAAATATTAAATTATTTTTGAAATTGAAGCATTCTAGACTGAGAAAATGTATTTTTTACTCATGTGGCTGAAAGATGACAACTCCCAGAATGCACTTGCTTTGCTGCCCTTACGAGGCCACTCCCAAACCACGCCTACCAGTTACAGGCGGCAGAATCCAAAAAATTAATACAACTACGCTTGCTTTGATACATCGTGAGTTATTTGATAAATTTACATCGAAATGGTGCTAAATTGCATTGTACCGGGATGTACTAGCCTAATGTATATAACACAACTTAGACTTTCACAGTAAAAATATGATGTCAGGCAGGACCATGTCAACACAGTAGCTTAGTAGCTCTGCTTATGAACTGTTTTCCTCCAATTGAAATCACTATTTCTCCAAGTTAATACATTGTCTAGGCTAATCCATACTAACACTAAAGATTTATTAAAAGAACCACAACCAATGTGAGTTATAACTTTTAATTAAAAAAATAATTATTAACACTTTTACTCTCAAAGCTCTGCGGATTCAGTGATCTCACCAGACGTAATGGCATCGCTGAGATTCGCGACAGCAATAGGACTCTATATCTGTTTCCATAGGTGCAGAGCGAAAGCACTCACGTGGCCCAGCTCGAGTCTGGCTGGGCTCAGGTCTCGCTCCGGCCGCCTCTTGTTCCTCCATCTCCCGCAACTGTTTATCGCTGTATTGCGGCTCGTACAGATAGCCGCGAGCATCAGATTCTCGCTCGCCCCAGCTGGAGTCTGTCTTGCTCCGGCCGACTCTTGTTCCTCCATCTCCCGCAACAGGCTCCCGCGAGCATCAGATTCTCTCAACAGATCTTTGAAATCCCCTTCTGCCATTTCAACTTCAAAACTACCTTACACCATCGTGATTAGCCTACTATACAAACTTTCTATACAGACCAAGAGGCAAGAGCCGTTAGCTTAGCTTCTACAGAAAGACGGCTGACACGATCTTTACATTCGGTCAGTGAGATCCCGCCCCATATGGGCGTGGTGAAAACATGCTGAACACTGACTGTAGTCTTTAGCCTCTGGCCCAAAAATCCTCCGATGATGCAAAATGACGATTTTTGCGTTATCGGAGGATTTTTTCCAGACTAAAAATGAATTTTTCTCTCATATCAGGGTAGGGTTGGGAATCGTGGCAAATTTTCCGGTTCTGATTCCGGTTCCGCCAAACGGTTCCGGTTCCCATTAATTAAAAAATATTAGTAAGAGATAAATCCACAATCCTTTTTCTGTTTATTTCTTATAGTACTTGACAAATGAGTTTAACAGACTGGTAATGTAAATAAATTGAACATATTATCAAGCAATTTTTGCACAAAAAAATAAAATTCTGAAGAAAAAAAAATTCTGCATTCTAGAATAATAGGCTATAGGACCTCTCCTTGCTTATTGTATCTCCAACAGTGAAGAATACCCTCCCAGAAGGGGTAGAATATGCTTGAACACACATGCAAGATGTGTAAAGAACAGATTATTTTTTTAAACGGTTTGAATGATTGATTCATAAAGACTTTACTTCTTTCATTACTGGATAAATCGGCGCTCTAACAGAACTGCATGCGTCTTGCGGAAGAACATTGTTGCCGGAGCTACTTTTCTCTGTTTATGTCCATGACGAGTCACCATGCGAGTCGCGCAGGCATTGGGCTACCCCGCAGCAGCTGCGATCCGCCGGCCAGTCTAAACAAGAAGTCAGAGTATTAACGCTTATTACAGGCTTAACGTAGTGATTTAAGATAAGACAAAAACACGATTTTAATAAAAGGCATTCATGATGCACTCGCTCTTTGTATACATATTGTAAATTCTGAACACACAAAAAGTTACGGACTGAACCGAAACTTAGGAATTTTACACGGTTCCGGTATTTTTTCAAAAACACAACCGGTTCTGGATAAGAACCGGTTCTCGGTTCCCAACCCTATATGAGGGGGATATGAGGGGGGAGAAGCACGGTAATTCGAAAATACTACTGGCTTTCTACTGATACAAAGCTTAATGCTAAATCCTGAAGTATCCCTTTAAGACCAACTGTGTTTCATTTTGACATAATTTTGTGTGAATTTGTCTGTTCAAGCTTGAACTGTCATTTGTTTAGTGTTGATCAGCCCGAGATGACGGTTCCCTTGGTTGACCATATGAACCCGACCTGCAGGATGAAGACTATCGCTGTGGATGGAAAACCTCAGCTATGCTTGTTTGCTCCAAACAATGAAGAGATCACATATAATCATGGTGATCCTGAGTGGCCAAGTGATGCACGGTATGGAAACTTCACATTAACTATTTTTAATTTGTTGGATTATTTTAAAGGTTAATGTTACCCAAGGTAATGTTCATGTGTGTCAGTGTTAGTGTGTGACTTACACCTTATTTATGAGGATATCTGTTTTATGAGGACATCATCATCATAAGGTGTTCTTGATGTTTGACTTGTCTGAAGAATCGGTGTGTGTGTGTGTTTGACAAAAGCCTGCTTTATGAGGACACAGGGGTGCACTGATATGGAATATTAAAATTGATCCTGATAACCCATAACTTGTAGCTCATTGTGGCCAATACTGATATAGAGAACTCATATTTGTGTAAATATTTTTGGTTTATTATGAATCTGGCAGGGCAGATTAGACTGTGCTGGGCCGCCAGCCTACAGGTTTTTTTTTTACTTTTTACTTCTGTTAGGGTTATCTTCTTACTAGGTATTAATTATCTATTGTATAGTTGTATTGTTTTTCTATTTACTGTGACTTTATGTATGGTAGAGCACTTTGGCTCAACCATGAGTTGTGTTAAAATGTGTTATTCCATATCAGTGAACCCCTGTGTCCCCATAATAACTAGTGTCCTCATAAAGCAGGCTTTTGTCAAACACACACACACACCGATTCTTCAGACAAGTCAAACATCAAGAACATCATCTCATGATGTTGATGTCCTCATAAAACAGATGTCCTCATAAATCGGGTGTAAGTCACACACAAACTGGCCAATACTAATATAGAAAACTCATATTTGTGCTTGTAAAATATAATCTTTCTTTATTTTATTTATTTATAAAGCACCTTTTACACAACTCATGGTTGATTTTACAATACACATTAAGTCAAACTGATGTTAGCTAACCCTAACCATAATCCTAACCCTAACCATAACCCTAACCCTAACTGAAGTAAAGTTATGGTAAAACCTGAAGTCTGGCGGCCCAGCACAGTCTAATCTGCCCTGCCAGATTCATAATGAACCAAAAATATTTTTAACTATTTCTCAAAGGAAAGTCGTACTAATAGTAGTAAGTTTAGTAACTATCTCTGGCCAAACTATTTAAAAATGGCAGGGTTATTCTGGATACTCCATTTGGCGTGTGCATTGATGACGCAGTGAATAACCCTAACCCAAACCCTAACCAATTAGCAGTCGTTATTGTTTTTATGTCATATTTTAGTATTGCCTCGGCTCGCCTTAGCTCGCTCAGAACCTTGCTGGAGGTGATACAAAAAAAAGTACCTAAAAGCAGGAACGGGTTCAACCTTTACACAGTGGAAAACCAAACAAAGGCGAGCTGAGCCGAACTGCTACTGTGTAGTGGAAAAGCACCATTAGACTGTGCTGGGCCGTCAGACTACAGGTTTTACCATAACTCTACTTACTTCAGTTAGGGTTAGGGTTATGGTTAGGGTTAGGATTATGGTTAGGGTTAGCTAACATCAGTTTGACTTAATGTGTATTGTAAAATCAACCATGAGTTGTGTAAAAGGTGCTTTATAAATAAATAAAATAAAGAAAGATTATATTTTACAAGCACAAATATGAGTTTTCTATATTAGTATTGGCCAGTTTGTGTGTGACTTACACCCGATTTATGAGGACATCTGTTTTATGAGGACATCATCATCATGAGATGATGTTCTTGATGTTTGACTTGTCTGAAGAATCGGTGTGTGTGTGTGTTTGACAAAAGCCTGCTTTATGAGGACACTAGTTATTATGGGGACACAGGGGTTCACTGATATGGAATAACACATTTTAACACAACTCATGGTTGAGCCAAAGTGCTCTACAATACATAAAGTCACACTAAATAGAAAAACAATACAACTATACAATAGATAATTAATACCTAGTAAGAAGATAACCCTAACAGAAGTAAAAAGTAAAAAAAAAAACTGTAGTCTGGCGGCCCAGCACAGTCTAATCTGCCCTGCCAGATTCATAATAAACCAAAAATATTTACACAAATATGAGTTCTCTATATCAGTATTGGCCACAATGAGCTACAAGTTATGGGTTATTAGGATCAATTTTAATATTCCATATCAGTGCACCCCTGTGTCCCTATAATAACTAGTGTCCTCATAAAGCAGGCTTTTGTCAAACACACACACACACACACCGATTCTTCAGACAAGTCAAACATCTTATAATGTTGATGTCCTCATAAAACAGATGTCCTCATAAATCGGGTGTAAGTCACACACAAACTGGCCAATACTAATATAGAAAACTCATATTTGTGCTTGTAAAATATAATCTTTCTTTATTTTATTTATTTATAAAGCACATTTTACACAACTCATGGTTGATTTTACAATACACATTAGGTCAAACTGATGTTAGCTAACCCTAACCATAATCCTAACCCTAACCATAATCCTAACCCTAACTGAAGTAAGTAGAGTTATGGTAAAACCTGTAGTCTGACGGCCCAGCACAGTCTAATGGCGCTTTTCCACTACACAGTAGCAGTTCGGCTCAGCTCGCCTTTGTTTGGTTTTCCACTGTGTAAAGGTTGAACCTGTTCCTGCTTTTAGGTACTTTTTTTTGTATCACCTCCAGCAAGGTTCTGAGCGAGCTAAGGCGAGCCGAGGCAATACTAAAATATGACATAAAAACAATAACGACTGCTAATTGGGTTAGGGTTTGGGTTAGGGTTATTCACTGCGTCATCAATGCACACGCCAAATGGAGTATCCAGAATAACCCTGCCATTTTTAAATAGTTTGGCCAGAGATAGTTACTAAACTTACTACTATTAGTACGACTTTCCTTTGAGAAATAGTTAAAAATATTTTTGGTTCATTATGAATCTGGCAGGGCAGATTAGACTGTGCTGGGCCGCCAGACTTCAGGTTTTACCATAACTTTACTTCAGTTAGGGTTAGGGTTATGGTTAGGGTTAGATTATGGTTAGGGTTAGCTAACATCAGTTTGACTTAATGTGTATTGTAAAATCAACCATGAGTTGTGTAAAAGGTGCTTTATAAATAAATAAAATAAAGAAAGATTATATTTTACAAGCACAAATATGAGTTTTCTATATTAGTATTGGCCAGTTTGTGTGTGACTTACACCCGATTTATGAGGACATCTGTTTTATGAGGACATCAACATCATGAGATGATGTTCTTGATGTTTGACTTGTCTGAAGAATCGGTGTGTGTGTGTGTTTGACAAAAGCCTGCTTTATGAGGACACTAGTTATTATGGGGACACAGGGGTTCACTGATATGGAATAATACATTTTAACACAACTCATGGTTGAGCCAAAGTGCTCTACATACATAAAGTCACACTAAATAGAAAAAAAATACAACTATACAATAGAGGGTATGCGCGTGACGTCACCGTCAGCCGGAGTGTCTGCAGTTCCTCACAGTGAGTGGCAAAAAGACTTGAGCGGCTGTATATGTGTTCAGCGTGAATGACACGAAAAACAAAAACAACACACACAAATAAAGTGGGAAAGAGATTTGCGATTGACTGTACAACTAGATTTGACAAAAATCGCAGGTATATTTTTACAGACTGCTATAGAAAGAGGAGCAAATGGATCGCTGCAATTCACAGAAACAACTGGACTCCAGTCAGCCAAAGGTGGATTTGAGTTATCATTTTGTGTCAATATGCTGAATTTAGGTGTAAAACCATACCCATATAATTTGTATTGTTATATATATATTACAACTCATCAATTAAATATTTATCATTGCATTTTCTGCATTATTGGATGTTTTTTAGTAAACACTGACCAAAAAAAACCTATAAAGTTTTAGGGCTGGACGATATGATGATATATATAGGCTATATATAACACTCATATAAGTGATTAACTGGATTTAGACCTACCAATATTGTATTTATATAAAGCGTTCACAGGCAAATTTGCTTTATGTTTAGGTCTATATTGCTTTTATTTCCCCGGTGTCGAAATCAGGCAAACATAAATGTCAGGCAACACGATTCCTGTCTGCATGTCAATATCCATGGATCACTGGATCTTTCGTAAGTTGTAAGGAACACTATATTGAGTCCAACATTTAGTTGAAATTGCTAAAATTGTTCGTTTAGTCCCATTTTGCAGTTCCCCCTATTAAATCCAGTCACGTAGCAGGTCTTTTGCCACTCAGTCGGGCTGAGGGGGTTTGTTCCGGCGGGAAAGTCACGTCAATGCATTCCCTCTATAGATAATTAATACCTAGTAAGAAGCTAACCCTAACAGAAGTAAAAAGTAAAAAAAAAAAATCTGTAGTCTGGGGCCTTAAATATTGATTTCTGATAAATTGTTATTGAATGAAATTATTTGGTATTCTTGCATATTTTTTAATGATATATACATGATTACAAAATAAACTCAAATCAATATTTCACGTTCACATATTTAGTGGTCAGTAGCTGTGGGACCCTGATCAACCTGTCCATGATTATTTTGCATTATTTACTAGGGGTGTAACGGTTCACAAAATGCACGGTTCGATATGATACAGTGGTGACACGGTTCGGTATGTTTTCGATACAGCAAAAAGAATGAAATGCCAGAGAAATTTCCTTGATTTTCAAATTTGTATTCATTTATTAAAACTAACATCATAAAGTATCTTTTTTTTAATTTGAACAATGATGGAGCTATACTTGACTCTTCTTAGCAGCATATAAAGCAAAAACTTGTAAAAAAAAGTTTTTCAGTAGCATATAAAGCTCATTGTAAAGAAAATTAAATGTAATATTGTAGTAGTTACGAATAGGGATAACAAAGGTTATTTTTTTGGTCCAAACCCGTAACGGTTCGTTAAGCACAAATGAGTTGCGCAGTTTCGTTCCGCTTTCATCACGTTTGCATCAGTTGGGCAGTGTTGTGGTGGTCGCGCCAGTGCAAATACTAACATAATTTTGGTTGGCAGAAAAATGGTCCATCAAATCATTTGGTTTGAAATACATACCAAACTGAAAGCCTCGTACCAAACAGTTCAATACGAATACGTGTACCGTTAAACCCCTATTATTTACTGGCTATATATTATGCCTTAGACACATTTGAGATTTTTGGGGTTTAACAATGTTTTATAACTCTTAGAGGAAGTGTTTATGTAAAGTTTTCTTATTTTCAGATGAGCCATTTGAAAACTCACATGGCTGAAGTGGGGTGATCTCGGGAGGCGATACCTTCAGACTGACGGCAGGAGGTCTGTACTCTATCACAGCTTCAATTGGTCATGGACCGCCCAAGTTGACGTTTGACTGACTGACATGCAAGGTAACCAATGACCGTTTTGTTCCATGTCATGTTTAGGGGTGTGCAAATGTAACATCGATGTGCCTACAATAACAGACGGCGTGAATCTAAATTCTTCAAGAACGTGCAGGTTTACTGCAACAGTAGAGCTGCGAACCTCACATAGTTTTGAAAATCCAGCAATTAGTTAATCTTGGTAAGCACTCATTGTCACAGTTGTAAACACGATGGCATTCTTCTTCCATGATGGGGTTCCATCACAGGGCTCCAGACTGCAAACAATGGTCGCATTTTGTGACCAAAATTTGAGAGTGTGCGACTGAATTTTACATCCAGTCGCACATGTGCGACCAGTAAATTTGCCGCACGTTAAACGCATGGTAAAGCGGCGCGTCAATGAATCCGTGACAAGAATAGCGCGCGTAAACGTCTGTGGGAAAGGAGACGGAGACAAATATCACAACCTGATGTGCGTCTGAGCAATCAGCGATCTATCGACTCGTTAGTCGTTACCTAGCAGCGAATGTAAACAAAATGAAAGTGGAACGAAAATACGCCACTCATAGCTATGATTAGGACTGTGGAGCTGCAGCAGCGATCCGAACCATTGACAAAATAAAGCCCCGAACTTGCCAGTCGCGGGCCGATCTCGCTCACGCTACACTGTTACTAGATCCAGTAAAGAAATCCATTGAATTCGCCTCAGAATTAATAACATCAACACCACAAGATCCAGTGAGAAACACTCTGATTCGGCGCAGAGTTCTGTTATAAACCATATCAGATCAAACAGCGCTGACGTGGAAACCAGGAGAAACACTTGACGTTAGGCTTTCAGTCCACAAATCAGCCTATCAGAACCATGCATTTAGGCTAATGTAGTAAGTTAATTCTAACCATAAATATGATAATGTGTAAGAAATAATCAAATGCTTACAAGTAGCCTACTACACATCTTTTCCCAGCACTTCAATAATATCATATTTGTATTTTTTATGTGATTACCAACACATTTTTTGTTCATCCTTTAAAGATTGTCCTAAAACGAAAAATTAAGATGTTGGAAAACTCTTATTTAAACACAAAAAATAATAATAGGCTACCATTGTAAACAGGATGTTTATTGGCTATTTTCACTCCATAATCCATATACATATTTCACTACTTTTATTAATTAATATTAAGACATTATAAATGATAGTAACTAAAGTTAATTTCATCTACTTTCATCTACACCCTAAATTAAGCTTAGTGATTTATTGTCAGCCTCCGTGCTACCACATTTTTATTTATTTTATTTTTTTGTAGAACTCGCTGTGAGTTCTCATTTGAGGTGATGCTGCCTCAACTTTGAGTCTGGAGCCTGTGAAACTTAAAATAAAACAGCATATCATAATGTCAAGTCTATTTATTATTAAAGAATTT